TACAGATCACAAATTTAAAAAGAACAGTGTGGGAGATCCTTGTATGCTTCTGAGGGAGATTTACACCCACATACCAACGGGTCTGCTTTCTTTTTCTGTACTACTATGAAGAACACATTCAATGGAAGAATCACAGTTGATCTTTCCTTGTGTAACATTAAAGTAGTCACAGCAGCAACAAAGTAATTTCAAGTTAAGCTGCACCTCGACTTCAGCTTTCCCTGGGAGGAAAAAGCTTTCAAAAAATGAGTCTTGTCCCAAATGTGACCCAGGTGTTATGCACTTTTGCTTTGTTTTTTCTGGCTTTCATCAGTGAGACATTGCATGGCAGAGGAGACTGTCACTGCTTGGACAGTAAATAATGTTCTTGTTTTCATCCTGAGGCTTTAAAAAAATAATCTGAAATATAGTTAAAATTGTGGCAATTTTTTTAGTGGCTTTGAGTCTTCACAGATGTTCATAGAGATGTTCTCTCTTTCTTCTAGTGGACTGGTTTTTGTACCAACCTTTCCATTAGTTTTTGAATTGCATTTTGCTCTCCCAATTAACATGTTAGAAAAAGCAGATCTAAAACACTCTGTGGAACCTTGTTGGTTTTGTGGGGTGTGTGGTTGTGGTTTTGGGTTTTTTGTTGTTTTTTGGGTAGGTGGGTTGTGTTGTTCCCCCTCCTCCCGAGTGGATGGTTGGACTAGATGATATTAGAGGTCTTTTCCAACCATGATTACTCTCTGACTTTGTGGTGCCTGTATTGTTCCTTCCATCATTCTTCCTTCTCTTTTAAATTTAGGGCGGGCCTAAGATCCACCGCTGGCAACTGTTATGTTGTGGCATCTGCAACAACAGTTGCAGCTGAGGGGCTGAGGTGCTTCCCTATTTTCTATTTCAAATTTTCAAAGCAACATACCATGGAAACTGCAGCATTTGATGCACTGTGTGGAAATAAATTATGTTGATCCAGCTTAATAGTTCAATACATTAATGTTTCAAACCAGTAGTATATAGTTGCAGAACTGTTCACCTTCCCAGGCTGTTAGTTCAGACTGTCTCAGCTCCAAAAAATAGTGTTAAATGAGACCCTGGTGAGAGAAGTGCTGTCAGTAGGAGTGGCTCTGACAGACTGATATGTTCTCACATGTGCCCTTGAACAGGTGACGTGCTGCTGAACATCAATGGCATTGACTTGACTAACCTAAGTCACAGCGAGGCAGTGGCCATGCTGAAAGCAAGTGCTGTCTCTTCGGTGGTCGCCCTGAAAGCCCTGGAAGTCCAGATTGTAGAAGAACAGCCCCAGGCTAATGAAGAGCAATTGAGTACCATCAGTGAAAATGAGTATGATGCCAGCTGGTCACCATCATGGGTCATGTGGCTAGGACTTCCAAGGTATGGAATTGATTGATAAAGTAATTAGCTAACAGTTTTAAGCTAAGCCCAAGAGAGAGACAAAAGCAGGAACTTTATTAGTTGCAGCACATCTGCCCTCATTTCTGCCTGCCCGATGATCTCCATTCTATTCAGTTGTCAGTGTACTTGCCCAGTGGACTGTGAACAGGAGCAATGTCTCCTTAGGAAACTGGAAGATGAATAGACTAGTTTATCCCTTCACAAACTGTAGTAACTACCCACATGGATTCTTCTCATTGAAAACAAGTCATCTTTTCTATTGCTTAAGCATATCGTAACTTCCAGTAGAATATCCAAAGCCAAATGTGTTATTAATAGAAACAAGAAGTATTTGCCTATGTGTCTGTTTTGCTAGTCTGCTACCTAAATTTACAAGGCCAAATATATAATTTTAGTATGTTGAATCAGACTTGCCATTCTGACAGACTCTGGACATGGGTCTCATGCACACGTATCAACCTGTAGTTGCAAATCCTCATGGGGTTTTTTTTTGTTGTTGTTTTTTAGAAGTGCCCACTACTATCTCTGCCAAACACAAAAACTGTTCAAGATTTGCAGTGAGCTTCCTCTTCTTGGTTAACCTACAGCCTGCTGCACATCACCATGTTTCATTTTTACTCTCCTGTTTTTCACTTTCCTCTGGCTGCAGCTATAAACTCATTCTGGCATTACTTGTTAGCAAGAACAGCTCCCACTACAGCAAATAGTGTTATTAACTTAAGTCAGGGCATTCAGGTTAATTCCTCTCCCTCTGATAGAGTTACCAGGCTCAGGTCAGTAGTTCAAGCATAAAACCACAAGAACAACCAGGCAGATTGTCAGCAGAATGGCAGTTACAGGCAACAGACCTATGGGTTGACCCTCCAAAGATTTCACACTTTTTCATTTAATATTTCTGAGTTTTACTCTCAGTTAATTTGTCTTACATTCAAGTATTAATGAGTTACCTAATCACAATAAACAGCTCTCAGTTTTTGTAAATGAACTGGCTTTTCATGCTTCAGCAGTCATTTAATCCTTATATGCTACAGATGCCCACACATGACTCCTAAAGTTATGCTGCTGTTCTTCAAAGGGGTGTTGCACATCAGCAAAGAATTAGGCATCTTTTTAACCCAAAAGTTAAGTTGTGGGTTTCTTGGGTTTTTTTTAATTACAGTTATTGCCAACTTCATTGGCAAGAATTAATTTTCAGTGGGGGAGATGACATGTACCAGTACAGTTACTGAAGCATGATCTGGATTTTTTACATTCTTTGTAATGAATTTGGTTAATCATTTCTGTTTTCATTACTGGTGATGCATCATATCAGAGGTAGAGAAGGTTATGCATGGATTTTTAGATCTTTACTTAAAGTGGAAAAAGCATAAACTGGCTGGGGGTGGAAGAGAAACACACTACATTTTTTACGTGCAAACTAGACATATTGGGTATCCGTTTTCCACCCACATTCTTGCCACCCGTGAAATCCCTAAAATGCCATTCTATTACTGTCAGTTTGCAGAGTTAACTGTGGCTAAGTAATTATTCTAGCACTGCCTTATTTCTTTTAAAACACTTCTCTGTCTCTGGATTGTGGGAGGTTTTTTTGGTAATTGGTTTGAATATTGCGAAATTGCTGTGGGAGCAGAAGTCTAATCACCATCCCTCCCCTTCTCTTCCATGCTTAGCGTGGTGGTAATGATGAGACAGCAAGTGTTGTGCCTACTATAAAAATATCTATATGTGGTGTACACAGCTTTTTTCTCTTGCTATCCTGTGCTTCCATTCCACAGCTGCCTACATAGCTGCCACGACGTTGTGCTACGGCGGAGCAATTTAGGGAGCTGGGGTTTCAGCATTGTTGGTGGCTATGAGGAGAACCACACCAACCAGCCTTTCTTCATTAAAACAATTGTTCTTGGAACTCCTGCATACTTTGATGGAAGATTAAAGTAAGCTAAAATAACAGTAGTATTAATAATAATAATAATCACTTTTAAATAGTTACATGCTGGTGCAACTAATTGCTTAATGAAACGCATTGCAGCATCTTGTGCTGGGGGCATCATGCAGCCCAGTAGTGCTTTGCTGCCCCAACCAGTGTGATGGATTCCCTAGGCACCCCTGCCATCTCCTGTCCTCCTCCCCAGCTGCAGTGCTGGTGTCACCTACTGTCTCCATCTCCCTCTTTCAAGAGACACTGCAAAATCTATGTGTAGAGCTGGCTAGTTCACAACGTATTTGTCTTCCTAGAGAACCACTAAGAAATTAGGACCTACTTGTGTGAAGTGGGGAAAACTGCTTTATCCTTTCATATAGTCTTCTGAAGTCACTGCTGGAAACTCTGGCACTGAAGATGGGTGCTGCTGCTTTAATGGAAGGACAGGAAAACAGATGAAAACAGATAATGCCTGATCAGACATTGGAATGGACTGCCCAGGGAAGTGGTGGAGTCACCATCCCTGCAAATGTTTAAGGAAGGACTGGATGTGGCACTTAGTGCCATGGTCTAGCTGATGAGGTGCTGTTAGGTCATAGGTTGCACTTGATGATCTCAGAGGTCTTTTCCAGCCTCAATAATTCTGTGTTTCCCTAGGCACCCCTGCCATCTCCTGTCCTCCTCCCCAGCTGCAGTGCTGGTGTCACCTACTGTCTCCATCTCCCTCTTTCTTTAGGTCAAGAGACACTGCAAAATCTATGTGTAGAGCTGGCTAGTTCACAACGTATTTGTCTTCCTAGAGAACCACTAAGAAATTAGGACCTACTTGTGTGAAGTGGGGAAAACTGCTTTATCCTTTCATATAGTCTTCTGAAGTCACTGCTGGAAACTCTGGCACTGAAGATGGGTGCTGCTGCTTTAATGGAAGGACATGAAAACAGATAATGCCTGATCAGACATTGGAATGGACTGCCCAGGGAAGTGGTGGAGTCACCATCCCTGGAAATGTTTAAGGAAGGACTGGATGTGGCACTTAGTGCCATGGTCTAGCTGATGAGGTGCTGTTAGGTCATAGGTTGCACTTGATGATCTCAGAGGTCTTTTCCAGCCTCAATAATTCTGTGATTCTGTGAAAAAGATCTCTGAAAAGGTTGTTAACAAAGGGAGTCCCTGTACCAGTGCCCTGAGAGTCATTAGCTGGCAGGAAAGGCACTGGTAAATGAGGTGAGTTCAGCAGAGGTCCTTGAAATGGTGGGAGCTGGAGCACTTGCCCTACTAGATGAGGGCTTCAGTGTCAGGTAACATCCCCTTCCAGTACCTGCTAGCAGATTATCAAGGAGACAGAGCCTGGGCTTTTTACAATTGTGCACAGCAAAAGGATGAGAGACAACAGGCACAAGTTGAGTGAAAGAGGTTGAGGCTGGTTTTAAGGAGAAACTGTTTCCCCATGAGGATCGTCAGGCAGTGGCACAAGGTGCATGGTCTCTGCCCTTGGAGATTTTTAACACCTGACTGGATAAAGCCCTGAGAGACTTAATCAGATCTTGCAGTTGACCTTGCTTTGAGCAGATGGTGGGACTAAAGGTCCCTTCTGACCTTAAAATTTATATGATTCTACTTACATATTATGTTTGGATGCAGCCTCCAGGTCTATTAATGCATATATGCATCTTAGCCTTATGTAGGATTATTTCAGAATTAGGATTTCCAATTCCTATTAAAGGTTCTCTTGTTCATAAACTGTTTTTTTGAAGGTGTCAGTAAATAAAGAATATGTTACCTGAAGTTTTATGCCATGATTTTTACATGTAGATTTACTTAAAAAGTCACTTCAAAAATGTAGTTATGCCTACAGCATTGTAGACATATCGATTACTTGCCAGTAATTGATTTTTCAGTTCAATGACTAAATAAATAAATTAAAAACGTAGCTTGGCTGAACACAAAATTACAGTTTTTTGGACAACTGTGAAATAGTTTGGATTAAATGAAGGATTTCAGTTCAACCTAAAGTAAATAATTTCAGATCTGGGAATTAATAACTGGAAGTCTTTACACAAATGGAAATTTAAACATCATTCCCAAGAAGAGAGAAAAAGTGTGGTTGTTGTCACACTTGCCCTTTTTTAAGGAATGGCAAAGATGTTCTTGTGTGATATTGTAAACTTAGAATATGGACTTATAAATGAGCCATCAACAAGGGAAAACTCCTTAGAACCTGCACCATGAGTTATTGTGCAGCAGGTCTTTTTGAAGTCCTTTTGTTTAAGTTATCTAAATGTTTTGTTAGACTAGAGAGGAAGGAAGAAAAAAACTTCACAGTTCAATAGTTAACACAGTTTTCTGCCTACATTATCTGTCTGGTGTCATTTTATAGACGCTGGAATTATTTCAGCAGAAAGGCTCAGTGAAATGTAGCATTGTGGTTTGGGTGATGGGGTACCTTGATTCAGGCAGATAAATGCTTTTGAATCCACGTTTGACTGGTGTTGGTCATACCACCTCTTCTTCCTCTGCCCTGTGCCAGCCAAGGGCACCAGGAAAGCTCAGGTGAGCATCTTTTTGCCATTCATTTTGGTGCCCCCAGTAGCTGGGGAGATCAGTTTCAGGAAAAGTTCAGCGTCACTTCCCACTACTCTGGGGGATGCCAAATACACACTCAAGTTACCAAGAAGAGATGCTTGGAGATGGAGCATGCTTAATGTAGGAAGAACTTAGGTGCTTTTTTGAAGTTTCTCTTGAGCTTGTTAAAACTGAAATGTAACCCTTTAAGGTCAATTTTCTCAAACAGCACCTTCCCAAGTTTCTATTCCCAGCTTCAAAATAGAGTTGCTACAGCTTCTCAGTTGAACCATCTGCTGAGGGAGGTTTCATGCCAAATGGTTACGTTTGACAAAATCATAAGCCATTGAAAACAAGGTTCTCAGTTGGAATGAGATTGGTAACCATAAGTATCTTTACTTACACCTCCTACAGTAAAGACATATTTGGTGTAAATGTAATGTAATCCACACAAACAGAAATGTTTCTGTCATGCACACATTATCTCATTATCTTCTCTTGACTTCATTAGATCTTTTCAACTCTCTTCTCACATTTCCATACAGGTCACCTCTTAATGCAGAACTGTCTTTATATTAGAATTGAATCCTAGTGATCTGGGAATTCCCAGATGAGTTTCAGTAGTAAAACTGCCTTAAAATTGAACCCTTTGGGGTTTTTTTAGCTACACTTTGAGCCTGATGGAAACCTGTTACCCCAGGGGTGAAGTGCTCTTTGTTGGTATGTACTAGTTACTGCAGAGCAGTAGTCATCATTTGGGTTGTGGTGTTTTTTTTTCTTGTGTTTTTAGGTGTGGTGATATGATTGTTGCTGTAAATGGACTATCTACAGTTGGAATGAGCCATTCTGCACTGGTTCCCATGCTGAAGGAGCAGAGGAACAAAGTGACTTTAACGGTGATTTGCTGGCCTGGAAGCCTCATATAGATTTGTGAATCACTTCAGTTGAAGCAGCTTCTTTTTCTAGATAGCTGGCAAAAAAAGTCTCCTCTTATTTTCCCTATTGATACAGCTGGTTATAAGCAGGGCCAAAACTGCTGTATTTTCTTTTTTTTTTTCTTTTTGATGAGCCTCTCAGAAGTCACTCTGTATGTCTTTCCATCCTGAAATAGCCATTTCTGTTTGCTGTATCCGTTGCTGACGCAAGTGCAAATATACATGAACTCACAGAGAAATTCCCACTCCAATATGGCTGTCATGGAGCTTTCCCCATCAGGCTTGGAGAGTCAGCAGAAGAACTTAGTGGTTCTTTGGGTGTCTCTGCACAGTCCTCAAGTTACGTGTGATATATAAACGTAATAACCATGTGCCCGTTCTTCCCTGCAAAGAGAACGTGCATCAGTATGGCAGTGACACATCTGGCTGCTACTATGAATGAAACTCTTATTTCCAAAGGTACGTCTCTTCGTTTTGTAAGCCTTTCCATTTTTGAGTCAATATTTCAGACCGAGTCAAGAAATCCATCTTACTCCTCAGAAGTTACTTGATCCCCAAAATTTTTCTTGCAGGGCATCAGAGTTCATAGCAAAGTAGGACAAAAGCCTGATATTACTGGAATTTTTATGAAGTGCAATAACTGGACTCTTTGTTAGGAAACTTTAATACATTTAGAGTTTGTATCCTATAATGACAAGAAATATGGAGATAATTACTGTTGCAAGGCTGGCAAGAATACACGTGCCCGAGGTCGCCTTTGAGTGAATGACTTGCAGTATTAGATTTGAGTTTACAAATGAATGTTTTGCTATGTCGGAGAATTTTGATGAACATTTTTACAAAAATCATTTTTACTGTTTCTATTGTAGTTGTCAGCTCTCTTTACTCATGTATGGAATCAATAATTTAACTTATACTTTCTAAATGAGAGCATTATTTCCAGGAGAAAAAATAAGCAAGCTATTAAGAAAACATAGATTATGGTTTACAGGTATGCAGGCTGGAAGGAAAGCTCCTTGAATTCAAGTCCAACTGCAAAGTAAGCTGCAAAGTTCACTCTTACTCTGTCATCTCCTGACAAATGTGCAAATGCCTTGATACCAAATGCTGAAACCATCTCCTGTATTTCAGGATATTTTTCCTTTAGAGAGCACCTGCTATTAAGTTGTCAGTAAGAGTAATACTATTTATCTTGGATTGTATTTAGTATTTTTACAAATGAACCTGTAACTTCTAGACTTTGCCTTTCCATTATACCTGCAGGCTAAGCACCCATTTGTTTATGAAAAGCAGGCTGGAGTGCACAAAGAAATGTGCTGACCTGGAGCAAACCCTGAGTGTAGTCAGTGTTCTGCATATTTGAAAAAGAGCTTCATTTATAAACCAGGTTCCCAACCTGAACTGATTTTATGAATGACCTCTGTATTGTATTATTCATTATCAGAGAATGTATTTGAGAATCACAGCAAATTTCAATTGTGAAGCATGAATTTTGTTTTCAAACCAAACCGATGTAATATCAGGGCCTATTATCGCATGTCATTAACTCCAGTAGCTTTGTTTTCAAAAGAAATAAAGTTCTCTTTTGCAAAAAAAAGTTAAAATCTTATATGAATGGAGTGATTTTATTCCTCTCTGTAAGGTATGCTGTCAATTTAATTTCATAATATTAAAATACAAAAGAAGGTCCTCTACAGTATATTACTGTACTGAGGATCTTTCTGAAGCAAACACCAAACTTTTTTGATACTCTGATTTGAGAACAAGTTTCCTCCCATCCCCAGATGATGTTTAACTCTCTACTTTGCTCTTAATGCAGGTTTTTTTCTAAAGTACACCTTTGAGTAGACTTTAGGGATGATTTTGACATACGTACTAGACTTAGTGTTTTTTAATTATTATTTTTAAAGTTACAATTTTCATTCAAAAGTCTGCAGAAATCAGAACTTTAGGCTTCCTTGTTTTTTTTTTTTCTTTTATATGTGTGTAACAAAAGAGTGAGTTAGCTTAAACTGTGTGGTTTTGTGTGCTGTAGCTTTTGATCAGAAAGTCTAGCGAGAAAAGCGTTCTGAATTATTTCCCTTCCTGAATATTTTTTTCCTCTTTATCTTGTAGCTGCGTAGTTGGGTTTGGTTTTCTGTGCCTTCTGTTTTAAATTATTTCAAGATATTTTTTCCAGATATTGCTATCTAATTGTATGGTATTCATAAAAGATGAATGAAAATAAAAGTTCATTCTACTTGTTGTGATAACTCGAAGTATTGTCTCGCTCTTTACAACAGCTTATGGGTGGCTCAGTGCAGACTCAGTTTAAAGATACTTCTTTTCTGCTGTGATTTGTCATAAATTGCAGTTAGTGAATGTACCAAGAGTCTGAGGGCATGCTCATCTAGCCAGGAAAATGTACCAGCTATTTAACCAGTAATTCCAGTGTTGAAAATTCCTTCAAAAGAGGAGGTAAGGTCTGTGCTTTGTGGAACTTTGCCGCAAGCAGTGTTTCCTCTTTCCTCTACACCAGCTGGTACCAATCAGCTGGAAGATGTTTTCACAGCATAGATTTGATGCAAGGGGACAGTCTTGCTGGAAACATCAGCTCTACAGCTGAAACTTGAGCCTCCTGGTAATCAGTCCCCATCTCCTGTGGGCAAGCATGCTCTCTCTTCAGCTGTTTGCGAAGCTGGAGTGAGTCTAAAAGCAGTTTCTTAATCATTTACAGTAAAGTTACCCAGAACCTGGCTACTTATTCCTTGCAGGAGTTAGTGGGTTAGGAACAGACAAGTTCCTTTAAAAGAAAAAACATTTCTGTGTGCAGAAACACAGAAGAAAGCTGCCATGTCTAGCAGTAGGTTGTTAGCTCTTGTACTTCTTGTAAGGGGACTGACCATCAGTTTTGATTTATAGACAGATTAATGAATTCACTGTTGCAGCTGAAGGTGCATAGAGCTGTTGTGTGAGGTGATGGGACCTAGTCAACTGTGTGCTGGAACTTTGTGGGAGGAACACCTTCCTCAAACAATCCTGTGGTCCCCCATGAAAAACATAAAACAGTTTCTTCTGCTTCATGGCATGCTAATGAAGCAAAATCTGAAGACATTTCATTTGCTGATCTAAATTTCTATTTAGAGTCTGTTACAACTGAGGGGGAAATTCAACAATGCAGAAAAGAATAGTTCTTTTATTTGCAAATTCCCTATTAGATTTGGGCATATATAATGCAAATGTAAGCCTTGTTCTCAGATATAGTGAGACACAGATAATACTGGATGCCCCTTTTAGTTAAAAAATGTAACCATTTACTTGTGGTGCAGTTTTAATAGATCATGAAGGTTTTTTAATAAACTAAGGTATGAGGTTCTGGTGAGTTGAAAGAATGAATATGTCAGGCAGGGAAGCAATGGTGGCAAACACAGAGTCAAAACCAGACATGTTGGATGACACACAACCCAAGAAGATAATGAAACACCCAGGAAGGACAGCGAACATCCTCATCCCAGTTGTCTCAGGCAACTTCTAGGTAAGCTTACTTGGCTAAAAAGATCTCCCCCAACACAGAATAAAAGGAGAGACAGAAAATGATTTGCAGTGGCCTCACCACACCTGACATAAATCTGTCTAGCTAGTGAAGAACAATTCTTAGATGACTTGTTGCCCAGAGGATGGAGAAGTCATTAGGCTTTTTGTTCCTGGAACAATTGAAGTGATGTTATATGGGTAGGAAAGCTTAATTCAACCTAAATGGTGTTCATAGAATGGTTTGGGTTGGAAGGGACATCTAGTCCCTTAATGATCAACTAGTTCCAGCCCCCCTGCATGGGCAGGGACACCTCCCACTAGACCAGGTTGCTCAGAGCCCCATCCAGCCTGGTCTTGAACACCTCCAGGGAGAGGGCACCCACAACTTCCCTGGGCAACCTGTTCCAGGGTCTCGCCACCCTCACAGGAAATAATTTCCTATTAATATCTAATCTAAATCCCTTCTCTTTCAGCTTAAAACTGTTACCCTTTGTCATATCACTACATGCCCTTGTGAAAAGTTCCTCTCCAGCTTCCTTGTAAGTTCATGTCCTTTTTGTTATCACATAGATGAGTCCCCTGAATATTAGTAGTGCAATATGGATGCAATGTCTGTGTCAATGATGCATTGCAATTGATGTCATGGTGATGAGCTTCCTTCTGTGGAGTGATGCAGAAAACTTCAGACAACTCAGAAATCAGCAAGGTCTGAGAGTCCCATCAAAGGTGTGCAGCCTTCTTGGCATCAGCTGTGCCTGAAGCTGTTTTAGAAGGAGAAGGAATGTGTTTGGGGTTGGGGGTTGTTTTTCTTGTTTAACTGTGCTGGTGGAGGCTGGCTGGAGGAATCTGTGGGCTGCAAGCACAGCCAAGCAGACACCACACACTCCTCATTGGGAAAAGCCAAGAAGGCTTTCCTCCAAAGAAGGAATGAGAGCCAACTGTTTCCATTGCATGAGGGGGAGGAACTGGGCAAGAGATGAAGGGGAAAGCCTCTTCTGTGACTTCTAGGGGCAAATATTGCATCTAGGAGGGACTGTACCTCTTCACTCTCGTTCACAAGTAGTAGTAGCTACCTTAAGCACCTCAGCTCCCCTCCCAGGTCTTTCCTACCCTGCCTTAGCTACAGCAACCAGCAGTGGAGACCATGGCTGAGGTTTAGAGAGCAGAGGCAGTGTCAGCAAAGCCCCTTTGCAGCCCACAGCAGCCTGGCAGGATGGTGGGTGCCAGCTTCTGCTATGCCAGAGGCAGGGGTGATGGTCTCAGTGGTGGCTTCCTCTCGGGCATCTTGCAATCCATAGGCTTGATCCACAGCACAGAGAATAACTTGTGCTGTGTGAGGGGTTCATCCAACAGCTCTGCTTTGCCCCCAAAGCAAAAAAAAAGTCTGGTGGTGCAAAACCACCACTGTTTCAGCCGCTGTGTTTGGTCCTCCACAGCTCTCCTGCCATACTGGTGTTGGTAATCACTAGCAGAGCAGCTGAAGGAGAGGAGGTAAGTTTTACTAAAAACAGAGCTCTTTCTTCCATTTTTTTCCTGTTAGTAGACTATTGCATTCTCTGCAGCACATTTTCTGTCTGGTCCCTTCAGGTTGATAATAAATTGTGACATGAGCACTAAATGGCAATGAAAATTGGAAGTGGATGTGTTCTCTTACATTAACTAGTTTACCACTAGACTGGACAAGATGCATCATGTAAGGGAGATGGTATCACAGGCAG